AAATGCTGCTGCTGCTGCTCCTCTCAGTCTGCCAGCCCTGGTGCCCGCTGTGGAGGTTCGTCAGAGGAAGTTTTGTAGTGGGAAATCAACCCATTTTTCATGGTTCATGAAAAAGGAACCATGAAAATGGTTCATGGATACCATGGTTTCCAATTTTTCATGGCATCCATGAAAAGTAAATCAGATTCCACTTCACTAGTTGTTCTCCTTACCACTGGGCAGGGCCGAGGGGTATGTGCCCCTTTAGGAGTTGGTTATTGGAGCAAAACTCCTCTGAAGTATTTGGGGGTAGTTTTGAGACTTGAATCTTAAAAAGTATAATTAAAATAGGCTGAGAGAAATTACTGGTATAAAAAAATTGTGTCAATATTTAAGAAGACTCATCTATTTTTTTTTCCCTTGAAGTGCCAGGGTGCTGGGACATCTTGTCTAGACTGGGCTTTGCCTGGAAAAGGTTGGACTGGATGGTCCTTGAGGTCCCTTCCGACCTGAGACTATGATTTTGTGATTCTAGGAACTGTTTTAGTGTCGAAAACCTGCAAAAGGGTAGTGAGCAGTAGTCCAAACGTCCCTCTGAAAGGCTGGTGGTGGGGAGGTGATGCTGGTAGCCAGATGTCAGGGTGACAGGTTTCAGGAGCTGCTGGTGGGGGTGTGTGTAAGCCCCTCCTGTGAGTGGCCAGGCTGATCTGCAGCTAGCCCAGTACCACGAGATGAGGTTAGCTGTCTCTTAAAGCTGCTTCTGAGCTCAGGAGGACCTGTCAAACCCCTGCAGCAGTCCCCTGGGAGCCAGCCCACGGCACGATCTCCTGGGGGGACGGGTGGTGTGGGGGCTGTCCTGCTCCTCTTTGACTCAAGCGTGGTGTGGGAGCCCAGCAGAGACCTCGAGGTGGAGCAGGCAGCCGAGCAGCTCTCCCGGAGACCCCCGAAGCTGCCTGCTCACCTTGCCTGTCATCTCCTGCCCTGCTCCCAGGAGGGGTGACCCGCATGACCGTGTCCCTGGTGGTGATCATGTTCGAGCTGACGGGTGGCCTGGAGTACATCGTTCCTCTGATGGCAGCAGCCATGACCAGCAAGTGGGTGGCAGATGCCATCGGGCGGGAGGGCATCTACGACGCCCACATCCGCCTCAACGGGTACCCCTTCCTGGAGGCCAAGGAGGAGTTCTCACACAAGACACTGGCCATGGACGTCATGAGGCCGAGGAGGAACGACCCTCCCCTGACTGTCATCACCCAGGACAGCATGAGCGTGGAGGACGTGGAGACCATCATCAGTGAAACCACGTACAGCGGCTACCCGGTGGTGGTGTCACGGGAGTCCCAGAGGCTCGTTGGGTTTGTCCTCAGGAGAGACCTCATCATTTCAATTGGTAAGAGGCAAGATACTGCCTAGGTCAGTGCTCCAAGAAGGATCTTGAGGGGATGGAGCGTGGCCAGGGAAGGGCAACGGAGCTGCTGGGGAAGGGTCTAGAGGCCAAGTGTGGGGAGGAGCAGCTGAGGGAGCTGGGGGTGCTGAGCCTGGAGCAAAGGAGGCTCAGGGGAGACCTTCTGGCTCTGCACAGCTCCTGACAGGAGCCTGGAGCCAGGGGGGGTCAGGCTCTGCTCTCAAGCGACAAGCAACAGGACAAGAGGAAACGGCCTCAGGTTGCCCCAGGGAAGGTTGAGTTTGGAGCTGAGGAACAATTTCTTCCCCACCAGGGTTATCAAGGCCTGGCAGAGGCTGGCCAGGGCAGGGGGGGAGGCGCCGATGTGGGGTGAGGGACACGGGGCAGTGGGGACCTGGCAGGGCTGGGGGATGGTTGGGGACCTGGTCCTGAGTGGGCTTTGTCCCATGGGAGAGCTGGAGCAGTGCTTAGCATTCAGCTGCCTGTGAGTGGCCCCCGTGTGCACTGTGGGGTGAGTTCTCAGTGGCAGTTGTAGGATGTGCAGTAGAGTCTTTTGGAGCTTGTGAGTATTGGTCTCGTTCTTCTGCTCAGTGGTACCCAGGGACAGGACAAGGGGCAATGGGCACCAACTGGAACCCAGGAGGTGCCACCTGAGCAGGAGGAGAAACTTCTCTGCTGGGAGGGTGCAGAGCCTGGAGCAGCTGCCCAGAGAGGCTGTGGAGTCTCCTGCTCTGGAGAGATCCCAAACCCTCCTGGCTGTGACCCTGGGCACCCTGCTGGGGGTGAGCTGCTGGAGCAGGGGGTTGGAGGAGATGATCCCCAGAGGTTCCTCTCAACCCCACCCTGCTGGGATCCTGGGATTTTGCTAACTGCCTGGCCAAACACTTGTGATGATGTGGAATGAAGTACAGAAAAACCTGTTGTTGTGTGTTACCTTCTCTAAGGCACATTTGTGCTGTGAGCAGCAATTGTTGCATTTGTGTTTCTCTGCCACTCCAGGGGCTCATGGAGAGCTGTTTTCCCCTCAGGTTCCACACAGTAATGCACAGTTGGGTGCCACAGGATGGGATTTATCTTTTTATGACCATCTCTGAGTGTCCAGTTGGATACTGGGACAGTAAAGATCTCCAGAACTTGTATTTACACAGCCAGAGCAAAGTGCTGAGATGTGTGGAGCCTTGATGTGAGGCAGAGCCTCATGTCAGCTGTGGGGTGGGACTCTGGAGACCTTGGAGGTCACCCTGGAGTTAGAGAAGATAGGGTGGAAGCATCAACACACTGCACCCTCCTTGGGTCATCGATGGCCTGGAGAAACAGCACAGGGGGAGGGAAGGGGTGGACCTTTAAAGCCATCCCAGTGTGGGCAGAGGGAAAAGGTCTGGGGAAGGAGGAGAGAGCTGATATTTGGTATTCCTCCTCCCAGAGAACGCCCGGAAGAAGCAGGATGGGATCGTCAGCACTTCCATTATTTATTTCACTGACCACTCTCCCCCGCTGCCCCCGAGCGCCCCGTCCATGCTGAAGCTGAGGAGCATCCTGGACCTCAGCCCCTTCACGGTGACAGACCAGACCCCCATGGAGATCGTGGTGGACATCTTCCGCAAGCTGGGGCTGCGCCAGTGCCTGGTCACCCACAACGGGTGAGGGGCTGCGGGCACCGCCGGGGGCCCCGGGCACACCCAGAGCCTCTCCTTCCAGGGAGCAGAGGGCTCTGGTGTGTAGAGAACTGGGCACAGAGAAGAGTTCTGGGGTGGTTTGGGTGGGAAGGGAGCTTTACAGGCTCCTGCAGGGAGCAGGGACATCCCCAGCTAGAGCAGGGTGCTCAGAGCTCCATCCAACCTCCCCTGGGATGGTTCCAGGGATGGGGCAGCGGGCAGCCTGGGCCAGGGGCTCAGCACCCTCAGCAGCACAAATTCTTCCTTTTCTCTAGTCTAAATCTCCCTCTTTTAGTTTTAAACCATCCCTCCTTGTGCTATAAACAGCACAGGAGAGAGTCCACCAGACGCTCTGGAGCTGCTGAGGGGCGGGAGCATCTCTGTGCCAGGCCAGGCTGAGAGCCCTGGGGCTGCTGAGCTGGAGAAGCCTCAGAGGGGATCTGAGCAGTGCTGAGCAAGAGCTAAAGGGCCCCGGGGGGCAAGAGGCTGGGGCCAGACTCTGCTCAGTGGTGCCCAGGGACAGGACAAGGGGCAACGGGCACCAACTGGAACCCAGGAGGTGCCACCTGAGCAGGAGGAGAAACTTCTCTGCTGGGAGGGTGCAGAGCCTGGAGCAGCTGCCCAGAGAGGCTGTGGAGTCTCCTGCTCTGGAGAGATCCCAAACCCTCCTGGCTGTGACCCTGGGCACCCTGCTGTGGGTGTCCCTGCAAGGACAGTTCTGGGGGGGACATGATGTGCTAAAAACGTGTTTCCCTTTCCCAGGAAGCTGCTGGGGATCATCACCAAAAAGGATGTATTGAAGCACATTGCACAGCTGGCCAACCAGGACCCAGACTCCATCCTCTTCAACTAGAGGCAGCCCAGGCAGTGCCCTGGGCCCGACACCAAGGGGACTTTCTAGAAGATCCTGGAGGTACTTCCCTATTTTTATTGAGACCATGGAACTGTTTTCAGCGTTTCCTTCTGTGGAGCTGAAGAAGACAGTTGTTTTTCTACCAGGTAACCAATTGCACTACATCATCTGTGGGACATCATCTTCTTTTTAGAAGAGGAAAAGAAGCAGAGACTTTATTTACGTTGCTTTTGTGAAGTTCCATTGGAGAGATTCCATGAAGGAGTAAAAGCAGAATGCTCTAGAATGACATCTCCTCTTCTTCTTTGACTTGAACCTTTGTTCCTGGGGGAGGAGAAGACCTGGCCTGTGCCTGCAGGGACCTTGCAGGGAGGGCAGATTTTGCACACAGCATCTGGGCAGTGGCAGGGGACACGGTCAGAACTCAGGGCCCTGTATTCCCCAGGAGCCACTGGGCAGAGATAAAGCAGGAGATAAGGGAGACAAAGTAATTGGTTGGCTGAGGATGCTTTGCTGAAAGAAGGGGAAAAACCTTCACAGGCAGAAGCCCCAGAAGACCAGCTGTCAAACTGGAGCCCAGTTTCTCATTGGGAAGAAGTGTCTCCCTGAGGCTGTGAGGGTTTGGGTTTGCCTCTGCTCTGCTTCCCAGGGAACTCTGGGGGTGTTGGGTGTCCACAGGTCACCTCCTCCTTCGGCAGGGACACGGGCTGGGGGTGGCCTGGGACCTTCCCGTGGGTGTGTGCTGGTCCCTCTCTCTCCTCCACCCTGGCTGGAGGGTCGGCCCCACCCCGTGTCTCCCCTTGCCAACAACTATGCAATAAACCCCTCCCCACCACGGCTGGCCCCCTGACTGGGTCTGTCTGTGCTCCTCGAGTCCCTGCCCCAGATCTTAGCCAATTAATTTCCTGTTAATAAAGCTGTGACCATTTACTGGACTTTTGAAGGTACATGAAGACTTGGAGGCTGGTGCTGTTCGTCGTGGTGTCGCTCTGTAGCAGACCCTGCTCTGTGGTTTGGGGCTGAGGCTCCTCAGTGGCAGCAGAGCTTCCTCTGGCTTCTGGCTCACCCCCGAGGCTGCAGGAGGGAGCCAGGCTGGGGAGTCATGGCTGAGAATTGTGGAGCAAGGGCTCTGGATGCTGCTTCTAGAGGGACAAACCTCTGGCTGTGCTCACATGTCCTCTTATCCCCGGGCTGAGGCTTGGTGGCAGGAGGTGGTGGGTTGTCCACATGAGGCTCCTGCCTGTGATAAACCTGCCCCAGGGTGGCGTGAGGATGGCTGGAAGTTGTGTGAGTCTTAAACTCTCAAAGAGAAGCAGATTCCTCATCTCTGCCTGGAGCAGCAGCTCCTTTCTTGTCCAGAGCTATCCCACAGCGTGTACCTGCTGCCCCCCCACAGCCTGAGAGGGAGCTGGAGATGTCTGGAAGCCTTGTAGAGCTTAAAGCTGAATCAAACCAGGACGTGACCAACGGGTCTGATGCCTTCTGCTTAGAAACTGAACGCTGTGACTTGGTCTGTGGTGGTTTGTACAGCAGGAGGTGGTCACCGAGCTGAAACAAAGGCCACAGCGTGCCCCTGAGCTGCCCACAGCTTGACATGCTTCGTGTCGTGCCTTGGCTGGGGCTGGCTGAGGGAGCTGGGCCTGGCAGCAGCAAAAGCTTTACCTTGAAATGCTTTTTTATCCTTTTTTTATCTCCCTCTCACCAGCTGGATGTTCTGTGAGTCTGGGTCCGAGTCCAGGGATGAAGCTGCTGCCTCCAGGGGGGTCTGTGCTGGGAGAGGCTGGGGATGCCCATCCTGTGGGACACCAGAAAGACAAAACTCTGCTCTGCTGCTTTTCTGCTTGCCTTAAATACACAGGAGGGGTCTAGCTTGAAAAACAACAGTCCCTGCTTCAGTCAGATCTGGGCAGGATCTCGAGTCCTTGCGGTGCTGAACCAAATGTGGTGGTGATGGGCAAGTAAAAGAGAAATGCTGCGAGGGCACAAGACCTTTCTTGGCCTCTTGCCTGAGTAGGTCTCTCTGCTCTTGCTGCTTTTTCACGTGGAAAGTGGCAATTTTCCTGCAAACAGGGATGCAGACCCGTGGCCGGAGGGCTGGTGCCCGTGGGCGAGGTGGCAGTGGGAGCTCAGGGCGTGATGCTCAGAGCTGCTCAGTCTGTGTGTGCAAACCCAGGGGCCCCGTTGGCCACCAGGAGCAGGGTCTGGGTGAGGGGGACGTGTGCCAGCTCCTGTCCCTACACAGAGGACCAGGGCCTGGGGACAGGAGCAGGAGAGTCACCCCATGGCATGGCTGTGCCGTGCCCCGAGGGGCTGGCGTGGGCCCCGGGG